GATAGCTGCTCGCATCTCAGCTTGTCTAACAGACATTTCTTGTTGGATAATGGACCATCATCTTCAACTCAAGCTGGCTAAGACAGAACTGCTTGTGGTTTCAACAAACCCATCACTTTATCAAAATTTCCCCTTCCAAAATCCAAAATGCCACTGCAAGATTCATCTTTAATGAGCCAAAAGAACGCATGTCACACCTCTGTTCATCAATTTGCACTGGCTACCAATAGCTGCTCACAAAAAATTCAAGGCATTAATGTTTGCCTACAAAACCACCACTGGCTATGCAGCGTCTGCTAAATGACTAAATGTAAAAGTAAATATACGCTATATATACAGACAGACAGGAAGATTGATAGATAGATAGATAAAAACTGTTGTATCTGTTGTATATGTAACTGTTGTATAAAGTATCACACATATTATGGGATCCATCTGTGGGTCACAAATTCTTTGGTCAGTCTCATGCAGGAAGGTGAGAGGGAGAAGGGGAAGGCAAAATCCACCATCACCCTTCATCTGTGTAGCCTTGAGAAAGGGAGGGCAATGCCTGCTTCCCTCTCTCTTTCATCTTGGTACAGAGAGAGGCAGGGAAGCAGCAAGGAAAGAGAAACGGCAAGACCAGATCTGGAAGAATACCTTTGCAATAGCAGATCTGAAAGTTTCAACTCCAGCTGAATACAAATGAGGACAGGCTGTGCTGTAAAGGCAGGCGCAGGCTGAGTTTCTCTCCATGAGCACACACTCGCTTCACGTCAGGGTCCTGATCCACAATGTTGGGGTTCAGTTTTCAATAACGAGTGATTATTACACGGCTGCATATAAATAAATAAATTGACATGAAATATTGATTGGATTTTAAATTAGTTTATTATGTGAGCAGAAAGAGAGCGCAGAGTGGTACGAGAGACTTGAAACTACCACAGCTTTGTTGAAAATCATTTTGCTGGGACGATGCTCAATCATACAGTTTAGGATCAATATGCAAAAATATTTTGGAATGAAAATGATTTTTAATAAACACCAGGTTCAAAATATCTGTATGTGGCTCCGAGTGTTTATTCTGGCAATCGATTTATTTAATTACATCTGGATAATTTGGCCAGTGGGCAGTGATATACAAATAATGGCCAGACATTTTAAAATAAAAGTGACTTGCAAGTTTACATTGATTAAATAAAAGTGTGTTTGAGTAGAATATATGATTATTCAAAGATGAATACATTTGAAAGTGTATTTGAATTTGATGAAGGAAAATAAATGCATAACATTGAAAACTTGTGAAAACAAAACAGTAGACTCATTTTTGTAGACTAATAATTGAGACATACGGTGCTGACGCTTTAATGAGAGTTCTTATGACTGCAATCAAAACATCCACATGAAATTTGATTTTAGTGCTGAAATGATTTTAATTAGTGAAATCAAGCTGTCCATAATTACAGGAGCAACAGAGGTCTCTCTCCTCTGTGTCAGAAAGCCACAAGACACTTGATGTACGTCAGGACTTCATTAGTACAGATAAAGAAAACAGTACAACTCTGCTATTTAGTTTCCCACAAGAAACTTTTTAACAACCCCTCACACATTCTAAGCTCACAGCTGAAAACACCTCAACAACCCTCCTGAGCTCCAGTAACTTCGCTGTTGTAACATTGTTATTTAGGTTTATGTATTTGTTTATGCATTGGATAATTGTTCAGTTATAAATTAGCATGTCATACGAATGTATGAAACACACACACACACACACACACACACACACACATGTCTGGTTTGCTATCCTTGTGGGGACTCTCCATAGGCGTAATGGTTTTTCTACTGTACAGATCATATATTCTATTGCCCTACACCAACCCTACCCCTTACAGGAAACTTTCTGCATTTTTAGATTTTCAAAAAACTTTTTCTAATAAATCAAAATTCTGTGTGATTTATTAGCTTGTTTACCCGTGGTGACCTCAATTTAGGTCCCCACCGTGACACGAGTCCCCATGAGTCTGTGTGTATTCAGGTTTAAGTCCCCACCAGAATAGAAAAACAGGTACACACACACGCACGCACGCGCACACACACACACACACACACACACACATATATATACATATATATTTTTTCCTCAATTAGGATATATCCCACCAAAGGTAAACGACGTGTTCATAAATATTAACAATAATAATAATAATAATTGTATTATTATTATTATTATTATTATTATTATTATTATTGTCGTCGCTGTTTCTGTTGTTCTTTGTTGTTCCAATCAGTAGGTCAATGTGCGCATGCCCGCTAATGCGAGACGCGTTGCTATAACGACAGATGTACACAGTTTCCGCAAGCGGTAGTTCGGGAGGACGGTGTTGATGTAAGTACTTTTAAAAGCCTGTGACATTTTGATAAAGTATTGTTGATACTGTGTATTTTATCTCCGAAACAAACAAACAAACAAAACAAATATATTAGTTCTATCTAACAGCTCTCGCCTTTGTTTTATAAAGCTCTAATTATTCTAACGCCCAAATGTGCAGGAAACAAGTCTAATGAGAATGAATATATTTGGCAAATTTCTCTCTGTTATCTGGTTTTTCTTTAATCTTAAATGATGGAAGTACATAAATAGTGAGGAATTATATGTTTATTGATGATAGTACCATCGTATTCTTTGACGTACGTTTGAGCTTACAAATACCATGGTATTTACCATTGCTACCATGGTTCTTTGGCCATGAAACATGGTGGTAACTTTACCCTGGTGTTTTTTTTTAGATGAAAATACCACTACATATGCTAATCATTCAGTACCATGATCTTATACCATCATTGCACCATGTCATTTTTTTGTAAAGGTTTGTTGCTGTTATTCATTTCACTGGCCTCTTTGTAGGTTAATTCAGTGAAATTTGTGCTATTGTGTGCTGTGGATTTCTTACTCAGAACTCTATTTTCTCAGGACACTTCAGTGGAAATTACAGCCTGTGAAGCTTGCAGTCTGATCAGAGAGCACCATGAATTTAAACAACTTTGTGGTACTTCCCAGCAAGCCCAAGTCAATGAAGTTAAATGTCAGGTTTGAACAGTCGGTTCCCTTGAGTTTCTTTTCACGCTTCAGATTTTTCACATTATTAGCACGTTACACGTCGCGTTTGCAAATGGCAGCGCTCCAAATGTTCAGAGTAGTCTGTTCATTTTAGCAGAATAACATGATTTTGTGTATTCAGTTGAATTATTGTCTTAAGCAGAGTGGCTCTAATAAAACAGGAAAAAGTCAGAATCACATTGGTTTATACAAGTTAATATGTAGCATGTAAAAAGTATATTTATATATGTGTATATTCTCCCCCCAAGGAATCTCCGGGAACTGCGTATGGAAACAGTGCAGCTGGATCAACATGCCAAGGAGATGGAGAGAAGACTGGAGGAGCTCAGACAGCATATGAACCAGGAGAAAGAGGAGAGGGAGTGAGTGAAACAGGGAGGGGAGGGACAGCTTGTTGAATTAATGAATGAGTGAGAAGATGAATAAATTAACGGGCCAAACAATGACTGTGACAGAGAGTGCTGAGATAAAAGAGGAAAGGTAACAATGAAACGACAATGAATAAAATGAAAAACGTAGGAAGAGATAGCAAGTGAAAGACAGAGAATGAGAGACTGTGAGGGTAGGTGTGCAGGCAAAGACAGAGGGACTTCAACAAATAATTCACCCAAAATTAATATTCTGTCAGTGTTTTTTCACCCTTCCAAAACCTGTATGCAAATATTTTTTTCCCTATACAATGACAGTTTAAAGTGACTACGGCTGTCAAACTTTAAAAAAAATCTCCAAAAAAGTAGTGCATATCACAAGTCCTCTAAAGCCATACATTTACATTCATTTATTTGGCAGACTTTTCTCCAAAGTTACTAGCGTTGCATTGAAGGCCCTCCTTGATGTGATGTCATTTTAAAGTTATACATATTTATTTTTAAATATGAACTTGAACAGCAAAAATCTCTGAAATTTTCATTTCCTGTTTGAGTCACTTTTATACTTTGTAACACTTTTATGTGACTTTGTAAATATACATTAATCTAACTTGACATTCGTCATAGAAATGCCAGTGCCAATCAAACCCAGTGCATACGTACTTTCTTAAGGGTATGGATCACCTAAGTGCAGTGCCTTGCAGAAAGACGCTGACATATATAGTTAAAGGTCGCCAAAGACAACCTAAAGTTCTCAAAGACACCATCTGCATTAAGTTCCCAACTACTGCACATGTAACGAATGGGATGTTCTTTTTAAGCCTGTTACACACATCCATACAGTTCTGTTCTGTTCCTTAGAATTTATCTGATGAAAACGCGTGGGTTAGTTTAAAGGAATAGTTCACCCAAAAATGAAAATTTGCTGAAAAATGTACTCACCCTCAGGCCATCCAAGATGCAGGTGAGTTTGTTTCTTAATGGGAACAGATTTGGAGAAATGTAGCATTCCATCACTTGCTCACCAATGGATCCTCTGCAGTGAATGGGTGCCGTCAGTCCAAACAGCTGATAAAAACATCACAATAATCCACAAGTAATCCTCACCACTCCAGTCCATCAATTAAAGGTGGGGTAAGTGATTTCTGGTAGCCAATGTTGACATTTGAAATCACCAAAACAAACACGCCCCTACCCCAAAAGGGTCTCGCCCCTATTTTGATAGCTCCGCCCCACACATAGGTACGCAACCCAGGCAATGATTAGTTCTGTGAAACAAAGCAAAACCAATGTTACACCGTGTCTACACTACACTGGACGCGAGTGGCGCGGCGCGACAAAATACTATAGATAGGGCTGTGACGGTGGCATATTTTTACCACCGCGGTGGTAATGGACCAAGTACCGCCGGTGGAGGCGCGAGTCAAGCGAGCGCGGAAACAGTACTGTGCTCAAAGCGCGTGCTCTTCAATGGCACGCACAAAGGCGCCGGCGCGCTGTAGCCTGTATCCTTTCATATAAAAGCGCGAAATTAACTACGTGCATGCAATGCCGTGGTCAGTTAAGTCAGGCGATTAAAGCTGCCTTAAAACTGTGCATGCATGTAATATATTTTATATGAGTCACATTTAA